GAGAAAGGCCATGAATCTAACAATCATACAAAGTGATCGCAGTACCGGCAAAAATAGAGCAGATCTCCCACTTGCAGGTGCTGAGGCCGCACACCGAGGAAAGTCCGGCCATGTGAGTTAGCAGGCCACAGCCTCCAGGGTGCCTCATGGTTTCCTCCTGGTTATCCCTCCCTAAACCCATCTTCTGTCACCTTCTCCTGTCTGTTGTGTGGTAGTTAAGCCCACCTTGCCACTGCAGGCAGATGGCAAAGAACAGGACGGGGGAGAAAATGGGCCAGAGAAGCTGCTCTGTCTTCTAAATTATAACTTGCAATTTCTCATCTGTTTTTTAACTGCATTCCTGTACTGTCTTTCTGTAATCTACCAAAGTGGTTAATAAAGGGTTCAAAACATAAAAATCACAACCAAACACAACATAGCAAAACACTGAAAACAACATTAAAAGCCATAAGAATTAGTTTTCAAAAGGGTGTTTAAAAATGTGCAACTTAACTCCCTTCCTGAGTGCTCTACACAAAGACTGGGGTTATGTTGCAACTCCGAAAGGAGTGCATTCCAAAACCTAGAAACACAATGGGATTAAGCTCTTTCCTATGTGCCTGGCAAATGGGCTTGGCAAGTGAGAGGGTTTTCAAAAGGGGACGGGGCATTATTTTTCTTGTCTTTTCCCCAGCAGAGCAGCATTCCTCAACACCACATCCTGCAAGTAACCTGGCAGGTAGGCTCAGAACAACTGCCGAACTGTTTCCCCACAGCCCAGCCAGGTGAGGACTGATGCTGGTGCTGAAAGTCACCAAGCAGTCCAGAAGAACTAGTAGGGCTACACCCTTCCCATTCAGTTCCCACTGTGAGTCACTGTAGGCCATACATTTATTATTTTTCAGGTGTGAAACGACTCACTCTCAGAGAGCACAGGAAATGACAGAGGTTACTTTTCTGAGATAAGTCCACCATCCCATCCATTGTTTACTATATTAAGGGTTATCACTGGCTTGAAATGCTGGGGTTTTGTTTTCGTTTTTGGTAGTTAATCATTTTCTTATATATGTCTGAATATTGCTATTTTACACCAAAAAATCAAAAGATATTTTTCAAAAGATCATTTTTATGCCTCTTTGCATCATGGTTCTTGACTGATGTTTCACTGAAATCCAAGTATGAGGCCTAGAAGTATTGGGTCCTGGCTACCTGAACGAGCACTTACGTCCGTATATGCCCGACCGCCCTTTGAGATCTGCAGGAAAGTCCCTTCTCCGGGAACCCTCCATGAAAGAAATTAGGAGAGTAAGTACCCGGAGGAGGGCTTTCTCTGCGGTGGCGCCCAACCTATGGAATTCACTCCCCAAAGAGGTCCGCCTGGCACCGTCGTTACGGGTTTTTCGGCGCCAGGTAAAGACCTTTTTATTTAAACATCATTTCAACTGTTAAAACATATGATCTGGCCAGGGCAACTTCTTCTTCCTTCTCTTTCTCCTCCTATATTTTTATTTTATACTGATAATTTTAATTTTATATTTGTAAGTCAATGTATTTTTTGTATTTTGTATTTAATGGTAATTTATTATGTACTATTGTATTTCAATGTATTTTATCATGTTGTAAGCCGCCCCGAGGTTTCGGCAAGGGGCGGCATAGAAATGTTATAATAATAATAATAATAATAATAATAATAATAATAATAATAATAATAGAAGTTAGCGTATTCACTGGGAGGCAACCCTTAAGTAATCCAGCTTCAATGTAATAAAGTATCTCCTGTGTCTTCCAACAGGGCTGCACAGCCTGTGGCCCCTTGGATGTTTTGGCTTATCACAGAGATGCTAGCTAGGTCTAATGGGAGTTGCAGGCCAAATTGTCTGGATGGCTACAGGTGCCACATTTAAGTCATGACATTTCTACAGATCTGTGACTAGGTGTCTTGTTGAGTGAAATCTGATTTTAAATAGCTCTCCAAACTCTGTGATATGTTATTATTTCACAACTTCATCCCATCTCATCCTACGCTGATTATTGCTAGGGTACAAAATAAGGCAGATCTCACCCTTACCAATAACTGCCTTCACTGTCATAATTTGGTCTGCTGACCACCTTAGTACTGGCTACAGCATTTAATCACAAAGGACGTTTTAAGGGTTACCCCATGAACTGAAAGCAGTAGGCCTGGGAAGCTCTGGGAGAAGAATGATCACATCATCAAAACATTCTTGGTTCTTGTTTTTGTGCAGCAGCAAGATACAAGATGGTCAATACTCTTATTTACTTTTCCTGAATTATGCCCTGGCTTCCACAATCTCTGCAGGAAGCCGGGCAACCTCTGCTTTATGGCATGATGGATGAAGTGTCTCAAAACACATGTCTGTTTTGTGTTTTTAATAGGATGCATAATGACTTGGATTGGGAAATTATTCCCCTCAGAGGAGTTTGTGCACATAACTCACACGCATCAGTGACTCCGCCAGTTATAAAACACCTTCCACTATTGATTGAGACAAAGCAGCATTTGGGAAATGTGTAATTAAACTAAGTCTAATATGGCTATAAAGCCACATCCCTGAAAGAAAGTGTTAGTAACAGTGGAAAGAATGCTTTTAAAATGAATCTGAGAGCTAAAGGAAGGGGAACACAAACTTGCAAGCAGCAAGACACATAGGTCTGAACTGTTTGTAACATAAAATCAGTCAGCCTGAAAAGCCACCATTACTTGAACTTTTTTGCAGCATCCATTCATTTGAGAGCATGTATAAATTAAGGGCACATCTTATGCCTATTTAGGCCTTTTTCTGTCAAAACATGGATAGGATTGTGTCCTATAATGTTCTTCTAGCAAGGTATTCATATCAGGCTCTGAATATTTGTCCTTTGAGTCTTTACATTCTGAATCAAGGTTGATGACTTGGTCAATTTATAAAGCCATTTTTGAGGGGAGGAATTAATTACACCCAGCGCTAATGTTTTTGGAGTGGAAAGACTCCCTAGCTCCTGATGTTAAGGACCAGGGAACCTAACATCATTTTCAGAATAAGGTCTCAATCCCAGAATAATCTCCCATTCCTTTCACACAAAAAGTCATTCTTGGTTAGGGCTCAGCAACATCCTTTTGTTCTTGCTATCATTAAACAATTGTGTGTCATAAATTCTTGCTTATGAGCGGCAAACCATTTGAAGGGATTTTAGGTCCCGAGTAACCTGCCCACCCCTGAAGTGGAGATCTTCACATGGAAACATAAAATTACCAAATGAAAGTTTTATCACATCAGTGGGGCAAGCCTGATACATTTTCTTCCCTGAGGTGGAGCAGCAAATTATACCCCTTGCCCACTCCACCCAACTGAAGTCAATGTATCCAAGGCTGGTCAAATTATTCTGGCACCCGTGGCAGGAAATCCTGCATTTCCCCTCCTTGGCAATAAAAATACAACAAAAAAATTAAATATTTAACCATTTGCTGCCCTTTCTAGACTTCCAGAATTAGTTGCCTAAGGCAGCTGCCTCACTGTGTTTAATGACAGAACCAGCTTCATACATCAAAAGCAAGCTTAAGAACCAGCCTTGATCTACCAACAAATTCAGCTACTTCTATATACATTAAGAACTATCCTTAATTATTACTGAACAAAATGATGTTTTCTGGTGCAGATCTTTTCCAAGCAATCTTTGGATAAGCTGTTTTGACAAAAGCTGAATTGAAGCATTTGAACCTATTCATAGAGTTAATCAGCCTGCATTCTCCTGAAGCTAAGAGAAGTGTACATACTATGCATCTTATCTGGAAGGGCAGTCATTGACTGCACCCACTGTGAAACAGCACATCATTTTCCCCTGCTGAAAATACCAGACTATACCAACAGCAATCTTCACTCTCTGAGGTTAAACAACACCATTCACATAGAAGAGGGACAGTATGTCAAGGGAACTTCAGTCTGCAGAAATACCAAGACCATCAGAGAAAATCATCAGTGGGTGGGGATGCAAAGCAGACAAAAGTAACAAGAGGTACAAATTAAAGATGTTGTCCTCTTGTAGAAGTGCATGTTTGACGCAGGGTAATTGCACAGTAAAAGCATCATCTGAAGGCACCCAAAGAGTTTTGCAAAAGTCATGAAAAGTGGCAGACATTCTAACCTGGAAAAACAGTTTTATGCATTTTAACTCTTCCATTTTAGGTAGGATGCAGTTAAAATGGCAACAGTCTATCAGGGAAACTAGGAAGTATCCAGGATGGCGACAAACATTTCTTCTCAGGATATAGGCTATGCAATTTAGGAAGGTTGCTACGATCTGCCACCTCTAGACTGTACAAAATTATCCCTGACTTGGTTTGATGAGAAACTGATTTGAAAGTACTAGTGTGTGACTGAATGAGTGTGCGTCTGCATGTATGGCTTGTTTTGTTTAATTCTGGTTTGGGGAGGCAGTGACCACAGGATGTCCACATTCCCACACAACAGCAGAAAACTGCAGAGAATTACTCACCTCTCAAGTTTTCCTTACTCTGTTGCATATCAAAACATGCTTGCTTTTCAACAGGAAAACATGATGCAAAAGTCAGCCAGATTCAAAGGCACATGTGCTTTTCAGAGAAGTATTTCAAAGAAGGAACCTGGATAAGGCATTAGGCCAATGTGAAGCAATAATGCACATTTCTTTGGAACAACTATTTTGCTGTCAGCTTGGAGGTTAGCTCTACTGCAACTCTTGCAGGGTAGGTCTCCAAGCCTTGGAAAAGTTCTTGCCTGCACATGGTTTGCAAGCTGTTACTGCCCCCATCCAAGAGAAGGAGCCATTTGCAAAAGTAAAGGCCTTCCACCAAGCAGACACTACTAGAAAATGGCTTGTTCATGCTGACCTTGCAGGCTGAGAAGCATGGATACAGTACTCCAAAATTTGTGAGTGTATGCATATTATCCAGTCATAACTAGGTACGGATGGCAACTTGTCCAGAACACCCTTGCATTGCAAAGGAGGTGGTAGTTCTCATCTTCCAATTCAGCAATACTTACAGCTGATGGTAATCCCAAGCTCCACACCTCTCTTCTTAGGTAGTTTAACATGAAAGGTACCACTGCTGGGAATGACAGATTCTACAGAACAAAAGAAAAACCTATTAGTGAGTGTCAATTAGATACAGCTTTTCAAAGCTTCACTGGGTTGTGCTACGGACTTCCCAACTTAGGAAAATGAATGATAGGTGTACACTCAAACCTTCACACAAAGATACAGAGGATCTTTGATGTGAAGTTCACGATGTCAGTGAGCCTCTTCCCATCTGCTTTAATACACGCCAGCCTTCATGTCAGCACAATACATGCATGTGAAGGCTGCATGAACTGGCCCACCCACTGGGCCTTCCGAAACATTCCCAGACAAAGTACTTTCTGGCAGCCCTTGTGTGCAGATTATTAAAGATGAAGCTGCCCTAAATTTTCATTATTCCAACAAACTATAATAAACATTTTTAAAAGCGCTTGAATTTGCCCCAAATTAATGAATGAACTAACAAGCAGCGATACACAATTTAGAAACTGTACATAATTTAACCTTGATGCAGTAATTATTAAGGCATAATGCCTCTAATTCACATGATAGCTGCTGTCTTTCTGCATAGACCATTTATCTCTGAAGGGTGGGTGGTGTATATGTGGCATTTGTCTTTGAATTAGTTGGATACGTGTGAAAACCATAGCACAATTCATCCCTGCCACATATGAGTGATTTCTTTCCCCTTTGCAAGAGGAAATTAAACTTATTCGTAGGGTGTGGAACTGCTGATACTAAAACAGAGAGAAACCTAGTTTTGTATTTAATCTTCCCCTGGAAGTCTAACCTTTTTCATTTTTACAGCCATGGTGACATTGGGAGCCTGGTAAGCATTTGATGGCAGCAACATGATGAGAGTGTCTGATGGCTGCGAGACTGTGGATCAGGGAGGAGCTGCCTGGCAAGCTACAATGCCCAGTAGGATGGGTGACAACATGCTGCTGGGTTAATGCTTTATATTCCTGGCTACCTACATTTTATTATTATGAGCAGATGGGGCTTGGTGGTGATTCTCTGGCACCTTCTCTAGCTAAGCGCAGTCGGCTTCCCTGATACTGAGGAATGCTCTTGCACTTTTAATTTGAGGGCCAGCATGGTGCAGTGCTGACCATGTCTATGAGGACAAGAAATATCCAGGTCAAAAATCTACCCAACCACCCACATCACTGGGTGGCGTGGGCCAGTGACCATCTCTCAGTTGAACCAGCCTCACTAGAGAAATTGGCGTGATAATAAAATAAGGGATGCATGCAGCACATATGTCATGAGCTCCTAAGGGAAAGGAGGGATGAAAAATTCAAAATAATAAATGTTTCCTACAGAGCTATAATGGGAAAAGCTGTGCACCAGCCACGCTCTCTGCCATGCACCAGAAACGCTTTGAGCTGGAAATCTGAAACTCTTCATAGGTGTTACAGACTATCCATAAAGGCACACAGCGAGCTGCCTTGAATCAAATCAGATTACTGGTCTATCGACCAGCACAGTCTGACAAGGCCTCAGAGGGAGGTCTTTCCTCCTCTGTGCTACTGAATACACTGGGGACTTTGGCATCTTGTACGTGTAAAGTGTGTGCTTTACCACTGAGCCGGAGCCCCTCCCCTAATGCATCTGTACTGGAGTTGCATCACTGATAGCGATGTGCTTGCAACTTTTGTTTGAAGGGTACACTAAACTGAAGCACAATTCTTGGAGAAACCCTCTGGCTCTAGTTTCAAGATTACAAATGCAGTAACTAAGAAAAAGAGAGTGTGCGGGGGAGAGAGAGAATGACACAGTCTGGTCTCTCGATCACTGAACACTGGGCACTGGTCATTTACTGGTCTACATTGCCTTAACTCTGCAGCATTTTAAAAGAATGTGTTTGAAGCCCTCAGGGAAGCAATATTAAAAAGGAGTTCAGGCTTGTGGCAAAACTAAGCATTCCCATACCTGCCACATCAAACTCAACCTCCAGAACAACCTTGTTAGTAAGTGCTGCATCCCGCAAGAGCTGATTGGCTTCTTCCATTGTTCCATCTTCTGTTGCAATGCTGTTGATAGAAAGCACTCTATCTCCAACTTGTAGGAGCCCACACCTGGAATCCAGAGTATTGGAAGAGAGTGGGAGAAGTCAGGAAATTGGGCTATCCATAGAAGTTCTTTGACCAAACAAGTCAGGAAGAGGAGCAAAACCAATGGATGACCTAGATTGCACACTTCCCTGCATGAGTCATTTTTGTGCTCTCATATTCCTTACTTGTGTTTGTTTATAAATTCTTTAGATGGTGTTCTTGCCTTCCAATTTGCTTCTGATTCTAAGCAGCACTTTCAGCCAGATTTTTTATAGCAACAAATTGCAACTGAATTCTTGAAAGTGAAAGAAAATACTTTATCCACTTCTGTAATTGTGCTATTCTGCAATACCACAGTGCCACCTACAGGTTATGAGGCAAAAAAGCAGGAAAAGATGCTCAGATGTCAGTTCTGCAGTAAAAGCTGTAAGCGTACACTCTGCCCGATCCTGACATGGTCTCTGGAATTCTCAAATGTGCCCCGAAAATCACCCTTAGGGGAATCTTCTCCATTTTAAAGAAAATATATTTCAGCCACCCAAAAAGGGCTATATTACAACAAAGATCAATAAAGCAATATGAAAGGTAGAGAACCTGATTGCTTTGAAACTATGCCTAGTGCCACAAAAGTCACATTAACCATGCCTGAACCTATTGGCACCTGGATTAATGATGTTGAAAATTACAAACTCCTCTGATTAATACATGGGTAATATCTCAAGCTGCAACACAGTAGATTCACTTCAGAGTCTCAGCAAATTGGGTAATCATTTATCCTTTGTAATTTCCCTTCCTGAAGCCAAATGCTCTCAGGTGCTGCTTAACGGTCCTGAAAAGCCAATATTATTATAAGACACATTTTCAACACAGACTTGACCTGCACTTGCTATAAAGCAGCAACTGTTGTGTATCATGGGTTTTTGCAACCACCAGAATGGAAGAAACACAGGAAAAAAGTCTGATGCCATTGAAAAGCAAGGAGGAGTCCAACAATAGATGGAAAACCAGGAAAAAGCAAAAATTAGTGGCCAAGAAGAATCAGGGTATGGTTATAGTGCTGCTACCCAACAAAGGGTGTGCATGCACGTGCAGAGAGAGAGAGAGAGAGGAGAGAGAGAGAGAGAGAGAGAGAGAGAGAGAGAGAGAGAGAGAGAGAGAGAGAGAGAGAGAGTTCATGTTAAGTGTATCCAGGCAGAGACTCTCTTTCTCTGGTTGGCCACTGAGTGAACAGAATGCTGGACTAGAGGGACCTTGGTCTAGCCTAGCATGGCTCTTCTTCGGTTCCCCTCACCCCCCTTTACCCAGCAGTACAGATGGACAGACAGGGAGGCAGAGGCTCTTCTCTCCGTACAGCTGCTACCTGAAACATTCTCTTCTGGTCTTCGATGGAAGTGATGAACAGCAACACACACCCATTTGCAGCATGGGCAGTGAGTGTGTGTGCATGTTTGCAAATCAAGAAGTGGCAAGAGAGGCTTCATGATCATGAGAAGGCACCATTCCTTGCAGGTGGAGTGCGGGCAGCTGTTTGAACCTGCTGCTCTCCAGTGACTGGTCCAAAGCAAGGCACTATTTTGACCTTTTTTCTAGGGCACCAAAACATCTAAGAGGAGCCCTGCTACTTAAGGCCTTCCTGGCATCTGTCTCTGCATCACACCAAAGACTTTGATGTAGGGCTGCATATAAATAAAATAAGTAAACAGGAAAGCAAAAAATAGTTTATTATTTATTGCAGGAAACTCAGGCACAGTTCCTCAAAAAAGTGTTTCTACTGCAAGGATATTTCTTGCTCCAACCACTCCTATAAGTATCCTCCTCTTAATGCCCTTCCCTAGTGAGATCAAAGGGGAAAGGATGAGGAGGAGGACTTTCTCAGTGCCTAGACTCTGGAATTCACTCCCCAAGGATATACGGATGGCGCCAACTCTTCTTTCTTTTGGGCGCCAGGTAAAAACTTTCTTTATTTAAACAGCTTTTGTTTAATTTAAATTAATAATTATATATCTTGTTAAGGATTATTTATTTTAATTTAATTTTGGCTAATTTATTGGTGTGTGTGGGTATATTTTATTAAGTGATGTTATCTATTATTTTATTGTTTTATCTATTTGATCAATTATCAATTGTTTTACTGTTTTCCATGTATGTTTTTATGCTTTTTTTAGCATTTGTAAGCTGCCCAGAGAACCTTTAGGTTATGGGATGGGATGGCATAGAAATGGAATAAGTAAGTAAATAAATGAATATTTTATGGAAGGACATGTGATCTTTCTCAATTGTGAGAATGTACATCAGTGTAGGAAATGGTCTGTAGGGTTGTCAAATGGAACAGGGGTGCATTTTGCCTGTTTGGAGGCTTCCATGGCGATGTCAACATCACAAGGAGCGAGGCCAGATTTCCCCTTCAGTCACTGAAGCTGTCTATCTTAGCTGCCGAGGCAATTTTGTGCTGAACTCCAGCCCCTTCGATCCATCGAGGCCAGCTGAGCTGGACCTCTGGTCCAAAAAATGCTATTGGGCATCACTTCTGGACTCACCCAAGATCTTCTGGATCCATGTCTAGACCAACTCTGGCCTTTACTTTCTGAAGCGGATGGAATTGCTCCCAGACCCTGCCCCACTACCAGAATATCTGATATCAAGAAGTGGCAGCTATATGAGGTTATGAAGTACTCTCAAAGCACAAATTACGCATGCTTAGATGGGAAAAAAGGCCTACAAGTCTGAGCATTCCCTAGCACAGGGCTGCATCCTTTCTGAATAACACTTGTGGCAGGCATTAGCAGGGCCAAGTGAGTGCTGCCCTCCAATAGAAGAAGTACACTGTTCCTGGTAATTTCAGCCTATCTTTCTTCCTTGTTTTCCAAGCCATTTTTAAGGGACATGCCTTCCCAAAGTGACCTGCATTACTAGAACACGAAGGTAAAAAACCCAAATATGAGATTGCTTGACTCCATAAAGGAAGCCATAGCCTTGAATTTACAACTGGGAGGCTGCCTCGGGAGGCCGTTTTGGCCATTCTAGGCAGCATATAAATATGTAGCTAAATAGCTGAGCAGGACTGTCAGGGGCCGGGCACACTGGAGGGCTTTCCTTCCTAGGGGCACCATGAGTTGGAAGATGACCTGCCAGCACATAACACCAAGGTAAAAAATAGCAAAATGTAGGCAATGCCAGAGGAAGAAAGCGGCTGTAGTCAGTTGGTTTTTAGTCTATGAATCATTTGCAGACTAGTCAAGAACAGTTTTCAAAAGACATCTTTCAAAAGCTCATTGAAATCATTGAGTGGGGCAAGAGAGGGAAAACTCCCCTGAGGGGATGGTCCACAGCTGAGGCGCCTCTATAGGGAAGGCCCTGGTCGCAGGTGCTTTGTACCTCAAGCGATATTATGGCAAGAGGCATGTAAAACAGACTTCCACAGCAGTGTGGGCAGGCTTGCCTGGATGAACCCCCCTACTTTCTATTTCCCGGCCCATTCAGAGAGAAGGAGGGCAACCCTGGAAGTCTAGTGAGATATTTTGGGAGGTCCAGGTGACACCTCCCTATGCAGGCACCAAAAAATAAAGCAGACATTTAAAAATCACATCCATCATGGCTTCTGAGCTCATAGGAGGGCCAAAACCACTCATTTGCTAATAAAAAAGTGGATTGGGTGCCAGTGGTGAGCACCAGCCTTAGGGTACTGAGACTTAGTCACATCTGGACTGTATATATATTTGACTGCCTTGAGAACACACAAAGCCTGAAAAGCATTTGTGGCACATTACAAGAAGAAACACAACGAGTAAAAGCAGAGTTTTCTATGAATACCTCAGTGATTAAAGAGGCAACTTCCCCCACTTCTTTCCTAAATCTCTTCCTATTCAGTTGGTATCATGAATGGCTGGAGAGTGAAAAGTATTTGAAGAACTGCACAAGCTGCTCTTCCAGTCAATTTGAGTTGTTTCTGAAGTATCCTTACAGGACTGGGAAAGATCTATTCCTTGAATGTTCTTTTTATAGTCACTGAGCTGAGCTCCAAGGCAATATTGTCTAACCCTTTTTGGATCTCTGATTAGTAAAAAGAAATTGTGGTAACAGTTATACAGTTTTGCCCAGGAAATGAAATATTTTAGAACATCCTTTGACTTTATATCTTGCTTTTGGTATGTTTAATCAAAAGCATTTATCTCTCTTATTAGTAGACTGGACAGAATTTTTTCATACCCAGATCTGGCAGGTTTGTAACATTTTCTGAAGTGAAACAATGATTGGCTTTCCCTTAACAAAGGTCCCGATGGAGATGGCACAGCTAGCTTCCTCATAAATAAATTCAACATACTGACTCATGGAGTTAGAAACTGGAGTCCATTTTCCTTCCTGCCTTTGCCTCGCACCACCACACAAAGCCCTCTGGGGCATTGTTCTGTGGCCTTTAGGACTGCAAGAGCACCACTCCACATAATAACAAGGGCATAACCATCTTAGCATTCTCATCTGCAGAGCTCAAGGGAATGAATAAGGAACATACTATTATTACAGAGTCAACCTAGAAATGTGGTAGCAAGAAAACGGCAGAATTGTTCTGCACAAAATAATGAGTCCTTACCATAAAAAAGATGACATTTGGCCTCTTACCCTTTTGTGTTCAGTCCTTCAATATGCCATTGGTAGATTATAGGAAATTAAAAGAAAGTAACACAGACACTATTAATGTATTACATTTATAACCTGTTTTTTTCTTATGAACTCAAAGAGGCTTTCATAATTCTCCTCCTCCTGCTCGCAGTCCTATTCCACAACAACAATGCTGTGAGGTTTGTTGGGCTGAGAGCCTGTGACTGGCCCAAAGTTGCCCAGTTTGGTCCATGGCTTAGCGGGGACTAGTGTCCAGGTCGCCTGCTCTTAACCACATCACCACACTGGCTCCCTTTCCTTTCTTTTCAGAACTATACTCAGGGACAACCCAGAATATTTTGCTGCCTAAGGCGAACAGCATGACGCCCCTTGCCTGCAATCCCTATTCCAGGTATCAGTTCAACTTT